GGCCCCCGCCAGAAGCTCCCGGGAGGGACCCAGGCGTCCGAGCTCTGCTCCCGCCCCGGTAACCCGGCACCATGCGACAGGTGCCCGGTGCCCCCCCGCCCCCCCGGGCAGTAACGGGACCCCCGGGCCAGGCTCGGGTTACGCGGGGGGTCGGGACCCCCCGGGGCAGCTGCTGACGGCCACGATCCTGCCTGGGGCGGCGGATGTGCGCGTGTGTGTGCACACAGGTGCACGACCATGCATGTGGGTTTGCACGTGTGCCTGCCAGAGGTGTGTGCACACTGGCTCTGTGTGTGTGCACGTGTCCATATCCATGCATGCAGGTTTGCACATGTGTCTGCGTGTGTATGCCAGATGTGTGTGCACACAGACTCAGTATGGGGTGTGTGCGCACAACCGTGCATGCGGGTTTGCACGTGTGCCTGCCTGTGCATGCCAGACGTGTGTGCGTGCACGTGTGCAGACTGTGTGTGCACGCACGGGTTTGTAAGGGTGCCTGCGTGTGCACACCAGATGTGTGTGCACACTGAGTCTGTGTATATGTGTCTGCACACTTGCATGTACCATGTGTGCTCAAGTGTGTCCATGGCACATGCATAGCTGTCTGCATACATGCACTGCTTGTTTGTGTACATGCCCGGGGGTGTATGTGTGCCTGTTTGCACACACATGCATGTATATACATAGGCAAGTACAGGTGGGAGTCTTGTGTACACGGGCTCGTGGGTGCACAGGTACATGTGGGTGTATACATGCACCTGTCTGTATGTGCATGAATGTACATGCGTGTGTGTGCACGCGTACATACAAGGGCCTGAGCGTGCATCTGTGGGCATGCATGAGGCTGCTCGAGGGGCTCTGGTGCCTGCACAGGAGCCTGTGTATGTGTGCGCGCACACAGGGTATCTGCAAACGCACGTGTACCCACCTGTGCGCATGTGCATACACATATGCATGGGACTGCAACATGCACTGGTGCAAACTGGCACATGCCTACACGCATGCACATACACTCATGCCCACCCCAGCGCACACGGACTCATTCTCACACACCTGAGTGCAAGTGCGCACACAGGCTGTGGCACAGGCATATGCAGAACACTGCCAACATCTCCCGAGTGGCTCAAGTCTCCACCTGGCACGGGGGGGGGGTGCATCTCTGCCATAACTCCAGTCCCCTGTCCCCCCCACAAACATGCTGCAGATGCTTCATATTAATTAGTGCCATTAGCTCCCGGGTTTAATTACCCACCAGCTTGTACTGCCTTAATTGGGGATAACCCCTTCCCTGCCGTGCTGCAAGGGGGGG